GGAATGCAGAATTTGATTTTTAGATTCCACCAAGATAATATTCCTAAAACTAATAAAATGATTCCTGATATATTTCTTGACAAAAAACTAAGCATATGGTAGGAGTCAGGTCTTGATCTTATTTCCTTGAAATCATAAGAAAACATGTACCTTGTGGGAGAAGAATAATTTCTGTAAGTAAATAAGTGTTCTGGGAGATTCAGATGAAGTTGGCAGTGAATGCAGTGTCTGATTTAAAATGTGTTCTGTGGCACTTGCCCTAAGTAGCATACAACTACATAATGGTTTGTGATTTTACGGAGAAAATGTGTATGAATACAGTAACAATTGGCTTTCAAAGAGTACAACTGCAAATGCAATGATTCCTGACAGAAGGCTTTGTCACCCACTCTCCTCTAGAAAATGGGGAAAAGTAAGCCATTTTTCCAAAACACTAAATCACATTGTAGTGATTTGAGCTTGATCATTTCTTTGTAAACCTGGATTAAAGAGTTTTCTAGTTTTGATACGTCTCTTGTAGTGTTTTAAGGTAACTTGTAGTTTCATAAGACATCTTTCAGAACACATGTATCAGAATTTGCTACAGGAACAACATACTGAAAAGGTGAATTTTCCAGAAAGTTGAACTATGCATTAATTGAAATGGTATTTTTCCAAATTTTCATAGGCTTTAAGTGTCAAGGCAAAAAAGAGGTGTATCTCAGTTTCTAACATCAGTGTCGAACGCGAAATAGGGGTTTAAACATTAATAGTTGCCAATAATTCTGATTACTTATAAAATTAGTAGTAATGTAAAAATAGTAGTTAGAAATAGAGGAATGAAATATATAGATATATTATTTACATGGAGAGGAATATTGTCCACAAATGAACTTTCTGTGGGAGGAAAAATGGTACTTTTAGTCTTTGGAAAATTAATAAAGGAAAATTTATCAAGACTTTAGAAAATTATTGAGGCAGGAGTGGCTTAAGGATTTCAGGGTAAATTTGGGAATGGACTCCAAGAATTGAAGAAGTGATCTGGGGGAAAACCAAACCAAAACAAAAAAGAATGACCTAGTGAAGTGAAAAATGATGTACTAGTATATAAAGTTATTTTGACATTTGACTTGAGATGCAGGAATTGATCTCTCAAATAGTCAGTTAAGACCCAGAACTTCATTTTAACAAATCAGACAATCCCTAAAACTAATTTACCCCATTCTGTGAGTTATTAGATTTGAAAGGAAGTGTGAATAAATGCAGAGTGGTCTAAGCTGTATGCCCGCCTGGAATCTAGGAGTAAAGAATTTTTGAACAACTTTGAGTAAAAACAACGTTCAGGTTATTAATTTGCTAATTATTTTGCTTTTAACACATGAAGATCTGTCTAACTTGGCAACAGAGATGCTTGTAGGCTATTTAACTTTACCCAGTTAAATAAGATCAAGAGCTCTCTAATGATCTGACCATAAGATAATCACTTTGCTCTCCAGCGTTTGGAGCATCTCCACTAGTGATGTCATACTTGGAATTCTTACTCCACCTGTTTGTTGGAGAAACTGGTCCAGTAACTTGCCTGAGAGATGATATCAGTGTCTTTACACCTATGGAAGATGTAAAATTTTATCGAGTTTCTGCCTGTAAAATAGGATATGTAATCATTTTACATTAGATTTTTGTCCTCAGTGGTCTCATTTTGCAAGTTCACCTTTATACATCTATCTAAAGACCAGCTCTCTCAAGTGGATAATGTTGGCGAATAGGAGCAATTTTTTAAAAAGCCTTTGAATTGAACTGATTGTGTGATCACTGCACTACGCTCATCAAACGAAGGTTGTCTTAGACTGAAATAGTCCTGAACAGTTTTATTGTATATGCAGATGATGTCTCTGTTCAAAACATCCAGTCATAAGCCTCTAGTTTAGTTTATCTCATACTCGTCACTCATGAGGAAAATCAACCTGAAACTTGGAAAGAGTTCTGCTTATGCTTGAGATTTTTGAGCAGTTCATTTGATTGAAGTTCTTCTGGCTGTTCAAAAACTCCCAAAACTCTTTATAGATAAGAAAGTCAGGAAGCATTAAATATAAATGACTTGATTTTCTGGTCCAAACAAAACTTGGCTAATTTCAATATGTCAGTAGCAAAATCTAATCTAGCCATTACAAAATATCTTCAAAATTTGAGATATTGTCTCATGTTTTCTAAGTTAATTTTCTGTATTGCCTAAAATATATATATTTAAAAAAATTCTGCTCCCATGAGCTTGGAGATGTTTGTTTTTTTTCTTTAGCATTATACTCAAAAACATCTTTTTATCAACATTGTCTGTCTATGAAGAGTAAAACATATATGCAAAGAAATGTAGAATAACTAAGAATGACATTTCCACATCTGAATGTTTATGATGTATCACACATTAAATGCAACGAAATGCTTGAAATGTAACTATTAGATACTATTACTTTAGTTGCAATGAAAATTATTTACAAGAAACTGTGGGTCTATGCACCTTCTACAGCCAAAACTTTTACATCTGTGATATAGGCTGAAACGGTCAGTCCTATTTATGGCATTTTAAGGTGCTTTTTGAAGGTTCCAAACAGTTCTGAAACTTTTATTCAGGCAACTGACCAAAGGAAGTGAAATTTCCAGTAAAAGAAATTATATGAATTTAAAAAATATTTCAAGACCTAGAGCTTCATCTTAGCAGATCAGACAGTCCTTTAAAGTATTTTACTCCTTTCTCTGAGTTATTGGAGAAGCAAGTGTTACATCATATATTACAACAGACTTGATTTGGGATCTTAGGTCCATTCAGATCAACGAAAAAACAAATAGACATCAGCAAGTATAAAGGGAAATGTATCCAAAAAATGATTTGTTTGTATACAAGACTTTCACAAACCAAGCTGCATCTTCAAAAAGAATAGAAATCCAAGGGAAAAAGTTTAAGTAGAGAGAAAGGGAGACTATGCCAAAATAAATCTGGGGGAAAAAAAGGGAGAATTCTGCATCAAAGCATCAGTGATAAATAATTATAATGTCTGGAAATGTCAACCCAGAAGAAAGCCAGGAAATCCATATATACCCCTGTGTAATAATAAAGAAATTCTGTTGAAAATACTTTTAAAAAACCTTAAATACCTTCTTTGGATTAGTATCCACTGCAGGACATTGTCTAGAGATACCAGCCTGAGAGCTGCTCCTTAGAACCAATGCTGAAGCATCATTGTTGCAGGCTATGGTGCCAAAAGAGATGATGTTGGAACAGTCTCAAATTGAGTTGTTATAAGTAACTAAAAGCATACGGCATAAATTCCCTCAGAATCACAATGAAAGAATGAAGTTAAAGAATTTTAATTAAAAATATGAAAGATGTCATTAGAATCAGCAATTCCTTTATGGTATACACGGTAGAAAGAGGAGGGGCTAGTTTTTTGTTTTTGAAAATATTGTATTTTCTGTATATTTTTGATTGTAACCTTCCAAATTTTATTTCAGTATCAGAAAAGTAGTTACAAACAGAACTAGATGTTATAATTCTTTTCATTTTCAATAACTGATGATAAATTCTTCAGGATAGACCTGAAAAGACTGAGTAGCCAACTGATGAATGCCAACATCCAGAGAACCTTGGAGAACTAAGACTAGAGAGCTAGCCTATGCTCTGCTGCAAAGCAAATTAAGTATGGGAATTAATGTTTCACATACGTTGTAATTCAAGCCTGAGAAACACGGTGTTCCAGCCCTGAAAGGTCTTGGATACATGCTTAAAATTAAATATGTACATAGCCATTAACAAGATGACATTACTGCTGTATGATATACCTAGAAATGATGTAACAGAATGGAATGTTGACTTCAATATATAAAATTATTCAGTAAAATTGAGATACTGGTATTGCAAATATATGTGAAGTCCAGAAGGTAATGTTGAGGGACAGGGGTTGTGGGGATATAAATTTCAGTGATCATGAAAGGCAGGCAAATGTACAAAATACAGTCTGGTAGTTTTGAAAAGATCTGTAGCCAATCAGGAGCAGTGTGGTGGGCGGCTCTATGAAAATATGTGCTCAGAATTTAATGACAGTCAGAAAATAAAACAAAATTCATCAGTAGTAAAAAGACATTTATCTTAACAATGTGAAAATCCTTATGTAGTTTAAAGATACAGACATACATTGAATAGAAAAACTTCATTTAAAGAAGGATTTAAAGAGAAACAGAGTAGTTGCAGGATAGGAAATGGGCAAGTGAGTAGAAATATTTCCATACAAGAAAACTGGCTTACAGTAATTATATTTGACTACTTCATTGCACAGGAGGCATTCTGAAAGTGAACACAACAAAACTTCCAAAAGAATTACAACACAAAGCCCTTGATGGCTTTACTAATCAATAATTAGAGAAAATCAATGAGATAGAAATGTGGGTATTTCTAAGAAAAAGTGTATTTATGCAATGTAATAGACTGTAGAAGCCTATGAAATCCTATACTACCAGCTAACACAAATGGACATAGCTTTACGTTTACATGGGTATAATAATATTTGCTATTATGTTTTCATAGCTATAATAAATAAGATAGTTTTCTTTAGGGCTTGTGCTATGCATTAGACTAGGAAGAAATTTGAGCTATAGACAAGTTATTGCATATTATAGCATGGATTGTCTTCTTTCAGAGTCCTACATAATTTTGGGAAATATTCTCATCTTTGACAGAAACAAGATACTGAACTAGATTAAGCATTAATTTGATCAAATACAAGTATTCCTTTGTTGCTCTTGAATTGAAAACAACTGAGAGAGCAGTTAATGGTGATGACTCTTCACAGCAATTTTTTTATCTTCTCTATGTACTTGATCTTACTTTTGTACTTCATAATTTGTTTTCCCCATTTTTACTAAAAAAAATAATAAAATTAATCACTGTTTTCTAATCCAAGGACCTCTTATGTTTTACTTTATCTATTATTTTACATTTCTGCAGTCCCTGTAGAAGTTTTGCTCCCATATTAGATTAGAGAAGATTATTTTCTAATTACACACTCTATAATCTAGCACAAACACTTTATAACCAGAAAAGTGCTCGGTAAACTGAAGTTACTTCCCATATCATAAGTGGCACTGCTCTGTTCCTCTGTTTCCTTATCAAGTATTTTAATTGTTTTACATTTACATGCAAGAGTTATTCAAAGGGATGCAAGATCAGCTGTCACAGTATTGCAATGCTGGCTTCAAAGTTTGATTTCTGGAAGAGTTAAAAATTTTCACTAGTAAGTCTTTTTGTGTTGTAATGCATTGTAATTAAATCAAAATTTTAAATCAGTAAAATTAAGGACTATTCTAATGGTGCTTGATTTAATAATTAGGGTAAATACAATAGCAGAATGTGTCTGAAGTCACCTGTTGTACACTTGATGCTATTGTTCTTGCTTACAGATACTTTTCTATTACCATATGTATGGAGCTCACATTGGATCTTTGATTGTCTACCAGAGGACTATCGCGAAACATGAAAAAATTCTCCTTAATCTTACTGGAAACCAGGGAAATTTCTGGCAGTTCAAGGCACTGATCCTGGCTGGAGATGAAGATTTCCAAGTTGTCTTTGAAGGGATAGCTGGAAAAGGTCCCAGAGATGGCATAGCACTTGATGACCTCGCATTTTCCAGGGAGTGCTTACCATCCCAGGAGTTTTTACCAGCAGAACCCACAACGCTGCCTCCAACAGGTATGTTCCTGTTATGGACAGTCTATGTAAGTCTGGAAAGAATGAGCAGCAGCATTGCTTTCATTTCTTTGTCTCTCCTTCAAAAGAGAAATAGAATACATATCTTTCTAACGACATGTTGAAACTAACATACTTTCAAGTAGCTTTTTGAAACTCTAATAAAATTATTTTATGAAATAATTGTTTGGGAACTGAGTGAACACTTGTAAGTCTGCAAGACTTATTGTCCAGCCATGTATACTTAGACAATATCCTCCTAATTCAGCGGGATTTATTTATCAATAGTTATAAAATATAGTTAGTGTAAAATGAAGAACTAAGAGTGGGACAGAGCAAATATGGATAGATTGTAAGAAGACCATC